TCAAGAAGGAAATGTTTTTCCAACACGTTCGTCGGTGGATTTTATTTTGCACTTTTGCTTTTGTCAACCGGTTTTCGCTGTTCAATTATACACACTGGATCGTTTCTGCATCGATGAAATGCATGCATATGTACCAACCCCGCAGGAAACCGAACACTCTTGTTTTGTCTCTTTATTTTTTAATGTAAACAACATATTAATATATCAAATGAATGCCTTGAGGTGAGGATTTCTTTACATGCCAATAATGCAATCTATTAATAACGCGGAGCATTTCTCGTTTATGATTATTACAGTTCTTTTTCCCGAGTTCTCAGTTGTAGTTTTTAATTAGACGACGAGATGAGGTCATATCGTTTACAAATGCAGAAACATAGAGGCGATCGTCGTTTGCCTCGGATGTTATTTAAAAAGCGAAAACATCTGCCGTCCGTTTAATGTTATTGCCCTCTTTCAGGAGCCGAGCACCAACCAAACGGGGATGTGTTTTGGTAAAGTGCAGCAGGTATAAAGAAGGTCCCAAACAAAGATTTCGGTGGCAGCTGTGTGGTCTCTGGAAATTCTGAAAATAACTAATAACGCTTCCAAAACGTACAAAAAAAAAATTACGATACACTTCGATTTTAAATGACCCACATTTTTGTTTTGTTTTGTATTTAGTGACGGTCTACACTTGATCGTACGTACATAATAAATAGTGTGTTTCATAACGCTGATGTTTAATGAGGTCTTATCGGGGTTTTCCATAAACATGAACGATAATGTCATAAACTTTGCCCTCATCCTCGAATGCATTTATACACTTCTCTTCACACTTCCACATTTACGATTCAAAAATATATCTATTTTTTTTTCATGTATCAAATAAAATATATTTATAGATCGACGAGCGAGGAAGGGAAAGATTGAAGATCTGAAATTATAATTAGAAAGTGCCTTTTTCCGGTGTTGTTTTTCGTTGAGACATGGGGAGGAAGATTCGCAGGATGTGCAACACATGTGTGAAATAGATAAATCCTATGAGGGGGGGGCTTAAGAAGATACAAATTCTAATACAGAAATGCCGTTCGCTCTCCATTTTAAGAAAAACGCGAATAGAAAATGTCCATTTACGTACGGCCGCGCATAACGCTGATTTATGCATGGAACACACCCACAGAATTCAATAGGAACAATAAACATGAATCATTTTGCGAATAATATGTAAATCGCCATGGCTCGTTCAAATTAATGCACGTTTCCTTAAACTTAAATAAGCACTTAAGTACATGTTATCATATCCAGAGTGTTGGTACAACAATTGAATTGATACTCCACGAGATGCGATAATGTTAATATATTAACGTAATAGACGAACTGAGAATATAGTATTATTGAATAGATTTTTCTTTCTTATTCGTACAGCATGTACCTGCAACCTCAGAAAATATAATTCAGGTAAAACTCTCTCAACCCTTACTCGACCACGCAGACACCAGCTGTTGGACCTTTTTCTCTTCAGCCAATAGAAAGTTACCGATAATTTACTTCATTGTTTATACTCGTTACAAATCGCCCAATGACAGCAACATCCAAGAATACGTTAAGAAACTACTATATTACAAAAAAAAATAACAACCACTTGAACGCTCGACCAGATGCGAATTTCACCGGATAATTTTCATATTTAAAACACATGTGCGCAATGATTTATTTCCCACTCAAACATTTCTATAACCGGAAACTCCACTAAACCACAAGAATTTACTATATTAACAAGCTTGTTTGGGAATACTAGTCATATAGGACGTTTTGAAATATAATCATAAGATTTCAAATCTTGTTCTAATATAACAGAATTTCTTAGACTATATTATGTACTTGGTTAGTATAAATAATAAATATTTATAAATACTATTTAAATCAATGAAAAAATATTATATTAATTATAAGATTGAAATCATTTTACAGTATACTGAATATTAAATTAAATTATGTATATATAATATATTGAATTCATTTGAAGTGAATATTTTAGATTGTAATTGGTTAGAATGAGGATTTTAATTTGCATATTAGCGATGAAAAACAAATATATAATTGTATTCACCGATATGATAACACCTTTTCCACAGTCGCAATAGGAAACGTTACGCTCTGATAAAGCGTAAGTTGAAATCTTCAAAGTTCAATCGCATTTGTGTACTTAATAGTGCGATTAAGTGGAAAGCGTAATATTTAGACAAACGAACGTTTGTTTCAGTAAAATGTTACGGTTCCGATTTATCTTCAAGCTTTTTACTTTAGTGGCGATGGGCAATAAATAACGCAGTTCTTTGACGTTGATGACACTGAATGAGACAGCGCTGAGGTATTCCAAAAGGAAGAGGGAAAGAAAAAAAGAAGCGAACAAGAAGAAGAAAATTAACGTTGCACCACTCACTACCTGAGGATGGATTTTAAGGTGAGGCACACAAAAAGAATTTACAAAAGATTGCAATCCCTGAAGCTGTAGCCACACTGTGCTCGACTATCCATCCATCCGTTTCTAGAAATACACTTTTGTAAAAGCTCAGGTGAGCAAGTCTTCACGACAATAGGATAAAAATCTACTGTATCGTGCGTTAAACACGTGCATGACACACCGACAGAGCCCCTATTATATTTTAATTTCGCTCATTTGTTCTGCCATAAATATTCAGAAAATAAAAGGAACGAAAGACAAACGAGACGGGACGAGCAAGAAACATTATCCGAGTCCTTTATTGTCCTGACGGCTTCCATTCATTAAACTGCTCGTCTAGGTCATAATTAGCCGCTTTCGGACTTCGCCATCAGATTTATTAGTATTAATCGGTTTTTAATCCAGACAATGCGGCTTTTCATTGTACTCTTCAAAGATGTGGGTGAATATATAACACTGTTTTAACCTTGTCTGCGGCCCTGAATCCAACCACTGTGTTTACCTTACAAGAACAATCCGATTTATTTCTTTATGTTTTTTACTGGTTTTTTACCTATTCCTAATATCCATAACTAAATATTCCTTAAGACAACTTATATTTATTGCAATTAATTTACATACATGTAAAGACACCTTTAAATTAAATTAAAAGTTTGCAACCAACCGGTAAAAGTCGTTCGTCTGAATGTATGAGTAAATAGAAATGATCGAGATCGTATCTGATTTTATAGAAAAACTGTACTACTAAATAATGCACAGGATGTTCTTTATAGAAATCGTCTGCAACCCCTATTGAAATATCAATCTTTTGTGGGTATTCATGAACCTGTTCAAACCAAACAAGGAATAGGAGTTCATTAGAAAATTTCAGATAATTCTATAATTCTCTTGCGCCTGGAAACGCGTCCGATATAATGGATGGAAACTAGTTACATATTCATTGCGAGACATGTAGTATTTATGTTTCTCCAGAGGAGACCATAACTCGCACAGCTGAAAGACGAACATCGCAGTGCAGTTTTCGCGTAGTTTGCGAATATTACATGTAAGGCATAAGAGTAGCAAAATAACTCGAGCATTGTTTAATGATGTACCAAAGAGAAGGGAGCAGAGGAGTCTGCATGAAGTATGTTAGAGAGCGTGGGGCGTTTCCGTTCGGCTGCAGATGCTGCCGGATAAAAAATTAACATCAAAAAGAAAGGAAGAAGAAGAAGAAGGAATGGATGGCCGTAGTTCACATACCGAATGTGTTTTGCTTTTTTTTAGTCAATCTTACGTTGTTTCTGAATAAAATTCATTATACTCATTAATTTGTCGAATATGAAAACATTTTTCTCGCTATACAATTGTAAATTAGAATTCCGAAAGAGCGATGCCGTTTCTTTCTCGAATCGTCGAGCGAATGAAACATGTAACTGTGAATTTCGAGATGTGTCATCAGCTGTGTGATGTAACACCATTTCTTGTATGTATTATGCATGCATTTCACCATATCAAAAACGCATTCATCTGATCATCACGATACACACACAAATTTATTGATACCCGTAAATAATTATTTTCACTCGATATTTCGACCTGTTCACTTGTTTTTCTCCGCAATAAAATTCTATTGTCAAGGACATTTATTTTCGCGTGAAAAAAAAAAGAGAAACGTTAAACTATTACACAACAAGTGGAATACCTTGCGAATTGCATTTTAAGCAAATTCCAATGTGTTCCAATTTTCTTTGTTAAAAAACATCTATATATTCGAATGGTATAAGTCAATATCAGTAATTGAGTAAATACAATAAAGTTGTCTTTAGCAATTAGAACAAATTTACTCAATTTTTTTCTACAATTCCACAGTACACTATTCAATTATAACAATATTACAGATATAAATTTACCATGTCAATTCTTATTTGCATCGTTTTGTATTTATTCCTAGAAAAAAAATTATTAAAGTAATTACGTTCGAACGTAACCAAGGACATTTTTTTTTCAAGGCTCACTTTTCTGATTTTGTTTATACGTGTTCTTTTTAAAAAGAAATACGGAATTCAATTGTATGAAAACCGGCAAAACAAAATTATAAATTACACGCTATTGTTTTTTGTACTATGATGATGACTTGGAATTATTTCATTTTGCAGCAAACAATTTGTTGTTTACGATCCCATTTGAATTTGAAGTTGATGAAGATGCACGTAATTAGGGCTTCAGTTATTCTATATCACCTTTTGTGGTCGAGGGGATTTTTCCACTTGTTCGCTAATAAATTAACGTGGATTTTCAAATACAGAATATGCATAAATTTTAATTTGAAAATCTCTCCTCTGGCGCTCGGAATGAGTGAACGAACAAAGTCTGCTGCGTGCAGTGTGATATAACAATAAATATAAGTTTCCATAGTTACGCGTGTAATAAATTAAAGCACGTCGGAAATATGAAATTGAAATAAATAACGAACTTGCTGGAAACGCGATGCGCTGCACCCGTTGCAAGTGTTTGAATTCTGCACGTTTCCATGTATAAACTTCTGCACCGAACAAATGTAACGAAATGCACTCACCATTTTAATATAGTTTATCGTGTCGTTAATCCTTAAATTAATCCTTGGCAATTTATATAAATTCACAGAGTTCTTGTTGTTGTTGTCGTCGCTGTTTACGTTTCACGTGCAGCGGTATACACTTTGTAGCACGTAATAGTAAATTGTCCTTGCTGTTGTGCGACAGAATTTACATGTTTGTTGTGCGGATTTTGGAAGAGGTGATATGAACAAAAATCTACAACTGCGGTAAGTAAAGTACGGTCACGCGGTCCATTCAACAATGGTTCCGAGACGAACTTAAGCGGGTTCGGTGATGTAGAACCTCTGGTAGTACCTCCCACTACCCTACGGGCTCCTTTGTGCCGATACCGAGATTCTGTCTTTGGACCATGCTCACACAGATTTTTAACCTTGAACTCATATGCAATTCTCGCATCCTATCAGGAATTTCATTTTTATTATTATCAAAAATATCTCTCGGCATTCGAGAAATGATTCATCCAATACGAATCACCAATAAATACTCCTAAATATCAATAATTTAATGAAACATATTCACAATTAATAATTTTACAAAAAAAAAACATTATTTACTTTAAAAGAAATAATTATAATAGCACATACATACAAGATTAATTCAAAATTTTATAAATTTATTCATATTTATTTACTAAGTTTATTATTAACAATTCGTCCATTGTTGTTTTTTCATATTATAATTACAATTAATTATTGTACTGCCACCAATATCATTAAATAATTTAAAAAATTAACAATAAAAGACCTCAAATCAAAAAATATTAAGATAAATATTCAATGTTTAGAAAAAAAAACAGAAACTTTTATTACAATTATATAACAAACATAATTACAAATGACATACGAATTGAATAATTTTCGTATTAAATATACAGACTAAAAATTTTACATTTTTTTAAAATTTCAAATTATAAGAGTTTCTTACAAAATCCTTTACGTTATTTTTCCGTTTCATTATGGCAAATCTACGGACGAATGCATTAAGTAAATACTTAATGATTAAAGAAATAGTTTTAAACTAATTTAACAAATATATTAATTCGCATATTTAGTTCAAATTAACGTATAAAGCTGGTTTGGTTGCATATATTAAAAATTAATTTAAATATGATGTTATAATTATTTTGCAATAAAGATATAATCTACATTTTATTAGAAATTTTTATTTTTAAAATATTATTAATAGTTAAAACACATTTGTTTTAGTTATATTTGGAACTTTTCTTCTGTTTTTTGTTGTTGATTTTTATGATACAAATATAAGCATATATTTTAAATTAACTAAAATTATCATAGAAAATATATTTAAAAAGAGTTTTCTATTTTTGAAATTTTATAAAATAAACACTGTAATGCATAAACTTAGTGTTAACAGCGCCTTCTAATTGGATATTGCATAACTAGAGCCCATTAGCTGTTATATTGGTGGTCTATGTTAAAGTCCTATTCAGTTCAAATTTCAGAATAAATATTTAAAAAATCTATTACTTTGTGTATTCTATATAATATAATACTTACATTTCTTCCTACTTACTTATAATGATGTTTATATATGTTCCAATAGTTTAAGCTTGTATTTTTTTCATAAAGACATTAGGAAAATTATGGTATAATTTCAGGATGTGGGTTTGAGTAAATATTAAGAGTATATATATATTGTTTTATAGAGTAATTATTGTCTTTGAAATGCACGTTACCATAATTAAATACAATCAACAAATATATTAAAAGGCAATTTTATATAACCTATTAAAGCAATTAAAATTAAAATTTTCCCAAAATTATATTTTCATTTTTTTTTATACATAAACATATTTATATTTTCGTAATCAATTTCCTACTCTTGTATACATTATTGGAACAATAAAGCGCATTTATATTTATATAAAACAGATTGCTGGTAGGTTACTACATATATGTATATATTTATATATATATTAATTATATTTATTGTTGATCACCATTGTTGATACGTTTTGTTTCGATTCCAGTAATCACATTATTCAAGAATTGTTTCAAATAAGTATATAACATAGAAATCTCTTATAAAATGTAGTTTTAATTAAGCTGAAAGTACATAATCTAGCACCATACAAATGAATCTTTTATATTATTTTTTTGTTTTGTTTTTGTCAATTTGGATTCCTTTTCGTTTCACTATTCCTAAAATGGCACAATGTTACTATACATGCAATTAAAAGTAATATAAAAAAATAATTAGTTTCGTAAATTATTATATCAAAAGAAAATTATATCCTGTGGGCTTATCATTGGCAGTAATTGGTTACTTTATAAGCAAACTTGTTCAATGTGATTGAAATTAACTAAAGAGATGTTTCAAGCGTAAAATAGGCCCACAGTCATAAAATAATATTTGAACACAAAATGAGAACACTTAATTGTTAACAGGACAGTTAGAGTAAAACAATTGTTTATTAGATCCTATTGAAGTCATCATTGTCGTCAGTTCCGAATAGACGGTCCATTTCGAATCTGAAACATTACACAAACACATGTAATTGTTTTGTGTACATATTTATATAATAAAGCTATGCTATAGAGTTGCATATCTGAAACCCTTTGAGATACACTGTGTATTGAAAACAAAAAATGATACCCACTTGATTTGAAGTGTCAAAATAGATGAATAAAAGACATGGCTGAATGCCATTTTGGGCACATCTCAACAACACACTTTGTATACCACGTAATGTTAGTAGACGTTACCTTATAATTTGTTTCCACTTCTTAATAGCAATATGTTAATAAAAAAAGCATCAGTCTATTATGATGTGTATAAATAATCTATATACAGTAATTACGTATTTCAAATCCATTTACACCTTTACAAATATTTAATACACAAATAACATTAACAATATTTGTATATGTATAGAGATATTTACAAATATAACAAAACATTTCATTGTAACTATATGAAATTTGTATATTTACAACCAAGTAAAAAATAAACTGCAATAAACCTTAAATTATTTTTGAAAATTGTCCTAGTCGCACACATTACGATATTATTGCTTCGTTCACATTAATTTAAGCTTTAGATATTAGTAGTAGGAAGTCATACACCCTGCGACAAGGAATATAGCACACAAATGAGGATGCCGAAGATGTGCGAATCGTACTTGGGCACCTTCGATGAGGATGGTTTTGGATGGATTATGTTTACAGGAGGAGGAGGGATGATTTCGTCGAATTGATCGGAATCGGTGAATATCAACGAGGACGGAATCCAGCTGTGTCTATCCGTAATATTAGCAGCGATTTAATAATAAGACAGAAAAAATAATGATTAGTAGATTAGTGTTAAAACATTAAAATCAATTGCTTATTCAATAAGCATTGTTTTGTTAGTGAATAGAATTAATTATTTTAGAGGTAATAAGTTCATGGAAATCATACCTTTGACAACTATTCACATTTAGTCCTGATATGGCAGAAACTCCTAAATCTAAAGTTTTAGAATCTTGAAGTTCAAATCCGTGGATGCAACCGGTGAAGCCTTTCGTGTAACGTCTGCCCGTCATTAATTCGATGTTGGGTGTTCCGCCTATCAATCAAAGAGTAAATAAATTAAAATGCATTCTCGTTGCATCATTCAAATTAATTTATATATGTACCCAAGTAAATATTGCCGTCGCAATTCATATGGTTGGTTATGCCACCAGCTTCGCCAGTTGTGTGATGATCATTGTCAATTTCCATGGAGCCTTCCCTTCCTTCCCTCTTCAAGATTACCCTGTGTCTATTATTATTGCTAATGAAGACATCTCTGTTCACAATGTGTGCTTCACCGGATCCTAAATCATAAGTGAATTCCAAGTAGCCGTCGACAACTAAAATGCAAGAAAACAAAACATAATTTATATCATCATAACATTATATTTCAGTATTTACCAGCCAAAGCGATAAAATCTTGTCCCTGGCCATTCTCATTGGGGCCTTGTCCGTGCCAGAATATCAAACCATTGGTATCGTTTGTAGATAATTCGAGTGCAATGACTTCTTCAGCTTGATCATTAGTGTGATCCAGTAAGTAATTGTTAAATTCCAAATACCCGTCTCCATTAAAGTTAGCATCGTTGCGGATTGTTATAGCTAGTTCACAGTTTGTACCTGTGAAGCCTTTCGGGCAATCGCATTTATAAATTTTGGTATCACCGTGGCAAATTCCGGCATTTTGACAGGGATTCAAATGTTCGCACATGTTTGGTGCAATCTCGCATTCATTTCCACTAAAACAAAAATATATATTTTATTTGCATTATTTTTAAATTCTCTTTGAGTATAATCATTGATGACTTACGTGTATCCATGTATACAATTGCATTGATAGGTAGTTGGAGATAGCGGATAGCAGTAACCGTCGTTTCTGCACGGATTGCTGGAGCATCCTGTTTGTTTTACGTTATAGGTGCTTGCTGTATAAATATCGTTTTCTAGCGTGAAATATTGGTCTTCTTCGTCAGAACTATTGCAGTCTTTAACATTTGCAGAATCCACAGAGTTCGCTAGTCCCATATGAACATTTGAAATGCTCACCTAATATTTAAATTAAATTAAATAAGTTTACTTCATTAAATATAAACAAAACGTACTTCAGAAACGCATCCGTTAAAACCATTGGTAACGCCTACTCCAGGATTTAGCCTAACTGTGTCTTTGTTGTAACCACCGACAAAGAATTGTGTATGCAGATTCAATCCTCTGTGATTTCCAACAGTAGTTCCAACGACTGGTGCATAACCGTCCACAATCAATTTTCCATCGCTGGATACCCTGCTAACTGTTACAACCACCCATTTGTTTTCTTCCGTAAGCTCCTCTTCGCTCTTAATAACAATTGGACCTATAATTAAGGTACATGACTTAGCTTGTTAGCGGAGGAAAAGAGATATAACAGTTTTAAATTAAAGCAATACCACAAGTTTATGTACTATATGTACATAATAACAATAGAATCCCATTTATAATATATAATAAGTAATATTATTACCATCATAAACAATTTCATCATTTTGTTGCGCAGCTTAGAAAGAAAATAAAACAGTTTAAAAATTACAAGGCATCTCAACTTTCAGTTAAAACGTCCTAATAGTCCCTATACTTTCAACTGTTTGATTCTAAGCAATATAAGGTAGAGGGAAATTCAATAATTTAATACTCACCGTTTCCAACATCAAATCTGAACTCTATTCTTCTGTCCTTAATAGCCAAACTGATGAAATCTCCATCGCCTTCGTCGTTCTCTCCGCAATAAGCGATTACACCATCCGAAAGGTCCTTAGGCTTGATCTTCATGGAAATTTTTAAGCGACGCAACTGCGTTGGCGTGTTGTATGCCAAATAAGAGTTTCTTGAAAATGCAGGCTCGGAAATGTTTAATTCCTTCTCGCAGTGTTTACCGCCTTTGCTTAGAGGACACTGACAGGTGTAACTATCTTCGGAGTCTACGCACCTTCCTGTTCCACAAGTGGCTAAAAGTTAAAAAGAAATATATAAGAAAAGTTGAAAAGAAACATTAAAAAAAATAATAGTACATGCTGAGCAGAATTCGGCTCCAACTTTGTTGCATGTTGGACCGCTGTATCCAGAACGGCAGATGCACATGAACCCATCTTTGCTCAAAGATTCTTGACAAACTCCATTATTTTCGCAGAGATTTTCTGAGCACGTCTCGCAGTCTGTTGTTCCCCTCTTCATATGGGCTTCCTTAAGTATATCAATATCCGCATTGCCAATCTTCAATTTACTGATGCAACCGACGAAACCTCTGTGGGCGTTCGCCATCGGTGAAATATCGTTGAAGTCCGGAACTCCGCCAATGAACAAATTTTCATTAATGGTGAGACCAGAAAATTTGCCCAACGAGGTACCAGGGTATGGTCCTTGGCCATCAACATACATAGTTCCGCGTTTGCGATTCCTGAAGATTTTCACAGTATGCCATTGACCTAAAGCCAACGTGTGGTTGCCCTTAATTATAGCTGGTGTATTGTTATGGCCAACATTGAATCTGAACTCTGGAATTCCATTAACCAAAGCCAATGAAACAAAGTCTCCAGTCAGCATATTCTTTTTATTTCCATTGTATAAAATTAGTCCTGAAAATATAAAACATGGTCATATTAAATGAGTATATGTGCAAAATTAATTAGTAATACAACTTACCATCATGTACTTCCGGTTTGAACGATATTTCAATAGAAAATTGTATATAGGCATCTTTGAGCGTGTCCAATGCAATGAAACTAACTGGGGCTTGAGTGAAATAAGGAACAATGCCGGTTACAACTAAAATAGTTGGTGTTTCAATTTTGTTGTACGAGTTTGATGATGTACACGTGTACAACCCAGCATTATGGCTATCGATATCATTGATTTGAATAGATTTCTATGGAATAACATAATATTATTGCTTGTACTAACAAACTTACAAATTACTTACTGAATATATATCAACTTCCTTTGGCAGTACTCCCTTCTGTTTAGACCAGAAATAAGTTACTGGTTCTTTCAAGTCTGTGTTGCAGCTCAAAATGATAGTGGATCCTCGCGGCGCTTCTTTCTTCGAGATGGTATCGTCATGTGCATCATCTGGTAAGGTATTATTTTAATTTGTATCTTGATACAGTCTATTGATAACTCACCAATAACATTGATATTGAAATCTTTGTGGTATAAACCATTGTAGCCTCTAGCTTCGCATCTGTAAAGTCCGGCGTTTTCTTTCTTCAGAGAATAGAATTTCAATGTGCCACTTTCCATTACAACATTAGGTGCCATTCTTCCAGTTACTTTAGTCCATGTTGTAATCACACCTGGTTCATTCGATCTACAGAAGAGTTCTATATTTTCTCCAACGCGCGGAGATTGAGTCGAGGGTTGAATATCAAGTGTAGGATTATTCGGTTCTAAAATATGAAAATCATTGAAGAAAAAACAATAATAATAGTAATATTAGAAGAAAATGTTTAGCAAAATGTACAGCTTTAAATGGACAAACACAATTTAAATATCTATAAAATGCACAAGTAATATGTATACATGTTAAATTAAGCACTAATAAAGTATTTTAGTGGTTTCATTTAACAAATACGAAGAGCTATATTAACACATAAATTAACTGAATAATAAAACAAACCCCGCCGAAGTCTGGTACAGATTTGTCCTCGAATAGGAAAACAATTATTATAGCATCGGCGATAACCATATTTACATTCTTTCCTTACTATTTATCAAAACAAAATGCAAAAATAATATCATAAAATAATGTGCTTTCATTTTTTTTACAAATAATTCAATAAGAACTTAGAATATTGCACTTACCATTTACGCTCAATTCAATGTAATCCTTGGATTTTGTACCATCAGGGTTCGTTATCTCGCAATAGTAAATACCTTCGTCGTATTCAGTAATATCGGTAATTCTGAGTGCGCTACCACGAGTGATAGAGTTTTGAGGTAAGTCTCCTGCTTCTTTGTACCAATAGACAGAGTGTTCGTATTCTGGTTGCACATTGCACTTCAAATCAATTGTTGATCCTCGTCTGGCAGCCTTGCTTTTGCTGTCGGCACTAATCGATGGCATTTCAAAATTTTCTGTAAAACAAGATTCAGTAATTGCTTTGTAACAGTGAATATTTAAATTTAATTTACCCTGAACTAATACTTCAGCAACAGAATCGGCTTCACCAACTGAATTCGTAGCTGTGCATTTGTAGCGTCCAGCGTCGGATACTTGAATATTATTGAAAACAATAATACCATCTTGCGTGTAAACAGAAGAAGGCATCGTTTTATTCAATCCACTCCATGTAATTCTAATGGGTTGTTCTCCAGAAGCTGAGCACTCGATTCTGGCATTATCACCAGGGTTTACTACTTGTGTCGTTGGATTCAAAGTAATCCTGGGCAGAGCTATAAATAACATTAACAACATTATATTTGTGTGTGTTATACAGATTACATATGGATTACTAGCAAACGAAAACAAATCAAACTAAAACGATTGACAAATGTTTATAATGACTACCGATGAGAACATCGTACCTTGCAGCGCACACAGTTCTTCCTCAGCTTTATGTAAACAAATACAAATAAAGTATTAAAAGTCGTAAATTGAAGTCAGTTCGACTAATGAAGCGGAAGATTGTAATTCGAAAAAAAGAGTACTTACACAAAACTTGGACTTTTGCAGTGACGACGAATAGAATTTCGGAAGTGCTCGCAGAGTAACCAAGACATTTATAGAATCCAGAATCAGATGGTTGTGCATTGTTGATAATCAATGTACCATTGCGAATTAGAGAATATTTCGGGAGAGAAGTATTATCAGCCCTGGTCCAATGCGTGAATATTGTTTCGTTGGCTGAATCATTACAAAAACAATCAATAATTATATAATGAATAAGGAAATAATATTTTTTTTATTACTTTTTTTAATGTCACATCTTAAGTCTGCGCGGTTTCCTACGGGTACAGTGAATACTTGGGCATCATCCTCTGGTCTTTGACGTTCATTGTCTTTGTAGCTAAATTCTGGACGACGGTCACTACCTGGATCTTCTCCTACAAATTACAGATTATAGACGTTGCTATTTAAACTAGAAACTGCAAATGTACACATATTCTAAGAACCCAAATGAAAGCTGAAAATGCACCATTAAATGAGTGTTTTGAAGATATTGAAATAAATGAGTTTACAAAATTGATAGAAATATTTGAATGAAGTATGTATAATGATAAACTCACCTTTTGCATATGTATGATTAGCTATAGCCCATAGTTAGTAGAAAAATCATGAAATATAAAACATATTTTAGTTATATTTTATGTACAAAGCTCGTATTGACAATTATGTGATAAGAAAAAGCTCAAAATGATTTTCACTCAAAATAATTATGATTTTTTTTTACCGGTAATATCACCTCTAGTTGGAATATTATCGTCTACATGTATAGTTATTCTGCTTTCTCTAGCGCCAGCAGAGTTTCTTCCTGTACAATAGTAGGTGCCACGATCATCCATAGTTACCCTTGTAATTTCAAAGACAGCATTTCCCGAAAGTTCATTCGTTAATGGTTTAGAATTGCTGTAAAAATATTGATAATATGAAATACATATTTAAATAAGATCAAGTTATATCTTACTAAGAAGATGTCAACGAGTCTCTATTATGAATGAATTTGCTCCATTGTACTGTTGGACTAGGATGTCCGGATGCCATACATTCCAAGCGAATAGGTTTTCCAACTTGAACCTGCATAATTTCAGTACGTGGTATGATGGATACATCGGGTACAGTTTGCACTATTATATGTCCGTAGGCCGTGACCGAACCAACTGTATTTTCAGCTGAGCAGATGTACTTGCCTCCATCGGATTCTTCAATTCCATTAAACCTAGTGAAATTACAAGGACATATTAATTGCTATATCTCGAATATATGGAACAACGCAATAATTATTAACAAGAGGCACACATAAGCTAATGCCCAGTTGCCCCTCAGTAAAAGATAGACGGAAAGAACAATAGAAGAGAATAACCAAATTCGTAAAACTGACATATCTACGGTAATTTTGACAAGTAAATAAATACCTTAAAACACCGTTCGACAACTTTTCAACTCTATGACTAATTGGATAGCCATCAGCTCTATGCCATCTAATAGTTGGCGCTGGAATACCATATAGTATACGGCATTGGAACATTGCGTTGGATCCAACGTTCACAATTTGTTCATTCTTTGGATATATTTCAATGATGGGGGCTTCTCGAGCTTCAAAAAATATAAAACGTTTTAATAAACAATAGGCGAGAGAGAACCTTTGTCGTTACCTTGTACATCAATAATGGCAAAACTCTGTCCAAGTCCAAAACTGTTTTTAGCAGCGCACTTGTACATACCACGATCAGACATTTGCACATTGTAGATTTTAAGTATAGAGCCTTGTTGAAGAGAATTATGAGAAATATCGCCTCCCTCCTTACTCCAGTGAATTGTTGGGATAGGCGAACCAACGACATTACATTTCAGTTCAGCCTCAGTTCCTTGATCTACTTTCTGGGTGTTAGGTTCAAGCGTAACACTTGGAGCAATACTGAAACAGTTAATTTTAGTGGAAAGTTCTTTAAAAAAAAATATATCTATGATTTTTATACCCAGAGCCTTCCATGATGTGCACATTAGTAGTAACATTAACCGAACGTCCATCGTTAGCGGTTGCCGTACAGACGTATACACCAGAATCTTCAGGTTTAGCATGATTCACAATAAGGATTCCATTATTTATTTGATTGTTGTGCGGCAGATATCTGCTGTTCTGCTTTGTCCATCTAATATTATAATTTCCACCAGCCGTACAGGTCAGAGTGAAAGATTGGCCGCTGGTTCCAGCATATTGCGATGGTGTAATCACTGGTGTTATTGGATACGGACCAGAAGGAATATGCACACGAACGTTAGCGTAATCAACATTTTGTCCAGCAGTGTTCACTCCTAAGCATTGGTAAGTTCCTTCGTCGGATTTTCTGGCATGGGTAACTTCCAGGTAATCATTGTAAATGATCTAGATACAAAAGAAAATATAACATAAAAATTGCTGTAAATACTTTTTACAGATAAATACGTACATTTTCATTCAAATGATCACCATTTGATTTCCTCCAACTTATATTGGGTGTAGGATTACCTCTTGAAATACATTGCAACCTAAACGGTTTGCCTTCATATACATCAACAGTTGATGGGACAATTGAAATAATTGGTAATTCTGGTGTATTTCCTATTAAGAAATATTAAACGCGTTAATATTATTATATATTACAGTTTGATTTTCGATTGTCTTTAATTTTACCTGATACATTTACCATTTGTTTTGCGAATGCTTGTTAGAAACAATATATATTTAATTTTGAATACAATTGAATAAAATTAAAAAAACAAGTTATAATTACCTCCAACTGCCAAATTAACTCTTTCGGTAACGATGGAGAGTCCATCAAAGGCTTGGCATATATAGTTGCCAGAATCTGAATGTCTTAGATCAGTAATAACTAATAATCCATTATTATCGTCTATTGCTCTATCCGGAAGGACTCCTTGATCCTTTGTCCAATGAATTTTGATGGACTGCAAATAATATTTTTTATATAATGTTGTTATATTCATATAAACGCAATTTACTTTATTTATAAAAGATGTTGCAATACACCTCAATCTAACTTCTCCACCAACTTCGCGGATCGTCAAAGATGGAGAACTGATAGAAAGTGATATTGATGGCGGTATATTAGGTGAACTGGTCACAGGCGGATACTCTGGCTGGATTATAGATGAACCTAAACAAACGTATTTTAAATTAAGAAACTTACTAAATCAATTATATTTAGAGGACAGCACACAAGGAACAAATGTGTTAAATACAAACGTAACGTTGACCGTGAAATTATTAATACATCATAATAAAGAAAAGGACATTAGACGATAAGCTGACTGGATATCGTCAAACCTGCATAAATATTTCCTGTTAGAGAGCCTAAACTATTATTGTATGCATCCATCATGTGGCATGTGACTATTTGATGTTTAGAAGTTAGCATCATGGAAATCCATGTAACAATTTCATTAGGATAACGCCTTTCGTTCAATTCATTCTTGTCGATATTTACTCCATCCACATTTAAATTTACATTAAATGTTCCAGGTGCTTGACATTTGCAGGTAATTTGAACATTGTTTTCATTACCTCGTCGTATTTGAAGATTTAAATTAACTCCTTTTCCATCTGTGTATTATTATATTATAAAATAAAATCATGCTGTCATGCAAAAATAATTGTGTAAGGTAACAAACAACATATGCCATCTATCTTACCATAATGTTCGCATCGTTGTCCCGAATATCCTTGCATGCAGTTGCAGTGAACGCCTGAATTCTGATCTATCGAACAGCTGGATTCGTGTCCGTTGCATGGACACTTCGAACAGGAGCCCAATGGTCCAGTTCCAATATCGTTAATGTCTCTGTAATATCCCTGTGCGCATATTTCGCATGATGTACCGGTGTATCCCTGAACAACAGATCAATCTCAATATATCGAAATATAAATCATTATTTATAACATACTGGTGGGCAAATGCAAACTTCAACATGCGTCGATCTTCCTTGATTCGTGCGAGTGTCCACTGATGTATCCAAAGTAAGATCACTAATGAATGAGCTCGCTGTGTCGCTGGATAATTGTGCTCTGATTAAAATTGCATCAATATTTGCAAGAACTTTCAGAAGATCTTCACGCGATGCTGGTTTAGGGCCTTGTCTAAAGTCTAATCGTTGCCATTTTGAAGCCGGACTCAAATTAACAGATATTTTCTAAACACAAGAGTATTATGTTATTAAAAAAATCAAATATAAAAGGATTAGCTTACGTTTGCCAAGTTTTGAGCCTGCCTGTGCGGATTCGACCAATAAATAGTTATACCATTACCAATGATGATGACATCGCGATCCATAACATACGATGCGTCGGGTCTTTGCGTGTATCTTTGGGTAAATTCCAAATTACCACCGAATGATTTAATTTTGTTACCAGTGAAAACGTTGGGTAGCGACCAAAATAGACTTTCGGAATGTTGACTTGGCCTAAATGTATATCCAATCTCATTCATCGCAATATTTAATTGGAAATTCGTGTCAATCTTTTCGGTTTGTTTTCTGTAATATTGATATTGTCAATAATGATATAAAATATATCACAAAAAATATACTTACATATTAGTTAGTACGAAACCATTATTGTTTGGTTCAAAAATTTGACTGGGTATTTGTTCAATATACATATTACTCTCGTGACAATCTGTGGCTACTCCAGAACAGAAACAAGATTGGCATCCCTCTGCTATGGAAACATTAAGGCCAAATGTGCCCTCACGACAACGATCGCAGTTGGATCCTTCTACATTTGTCTAAAATTAAAGTTATATTTAGAATTATCAATTATTTATAAGAAAAAATATATTATTTATACCTTGCATTGGCAAACACCTGAAATGCAGTCGGATGAAATTGATCCTGCAGGATTACATTTGCAATTATTCTCGTCATGGTCTCGTTTGTAAGTACAGGGCACATTATTTGTTGGATCGCCTACGTATCCATATTCACATTCGTCACATTTGTTGCCGGTAGTGTGATCTCTGCAGTTCGTGCAGTCACCACTATTAGGATCACATTTATTCGAATGTCCGTTGCAATCGCATTTTTCGCAAAGACCCAAATAAATACCTCCCAGTGTTCTAGTATAGCCAGCATCGCATTCTTCGCATGATAATCCTTTGTAACCAACTGGACAAGAACATTGTTCAACTGGCAAAGCTCTAGCGTTTCCAGTATTTCTATCACTAGCGGTGTCCAAAGAAACCATTTGCAGAGCGGCTTCGCGGGTATTTGTTGTGTAAGTAGCCTTAATTGAAATAGATTCAATTTCAGCTAAAGCCATCATCAAATGTTCACGATCTGCTACATTTCCATCAGCTCTTTGCCAATACTGTTCGAGAATGGGAACCTTCATCGTTAAGTTATTCGAGGAAGTGCGAGTGTCGTTAGCAAAGTATCTAATAGTTATGCCACCGATACTCTTGAGTTCAACATCATGCGCGTTGTTTTTAGAACTTTGACCGGCTGGGAATGGCACGTAACGTAGTGTATATGTTAAATATCCTCCGTATGCTGTTAACTTGTTGCCCAAAAAGCGCGACGGTAAAGACCAATAGTACAGATCCGTATTTCTAAAGTTGTTATAAACTATCTCTCTTGAATGTTGGTCTAGAATAATTCCATCTTCAATTTCCGTGTCTTTATTGTCAGCCGCTACCAATTTGAAGTTATTTTTGGACGATGTAAATATGGTAGATATCTGAAATTTTATATTTATATAAAACAAATCCTATCTTCCTTTTTCTTTCTATCTCTCTATCTTACCTGATCTCTGTACCAATTGGTGCTTTGGCATTGTTTCGTGATACCCATACAGAAACAAGAAATACAACCGAACATATTGTCGTTACTTAAATGGAAAGTGTTCTCCTTACATGTGTCACAGGTATATCCAATAGTGTTTATCTATTTTAAATAGAAAAAAACAATCAATTATATATCAGTTCTTAAATAGTATACATTTTTTTGATGAAAAATAACTTACACGCATCATACAAAAAAATGTGAATGCAGCATGGATGAATAATAATTTGGTTAATTTACGTATTTTTGTATTATATATTTAATGTTAGAAACAATAGAAAACAGAATACTAACTTTGCATGGGCATTGTCCGCTTTGCTGATTGGTGTATGAAGAACCTGCAGCATTACAATGATCAACATTTGGTTTACAGTAATCTCCTGCAACTAATGGATTTCCGTTATAGCCTCTGGCACAGTGTTCACACCTGCGGCCATAATATTCTCGTGGGCAATCGCATGTGGCACCGCCATCAGTGTCCAATCGACATGTTCTTCCAAATCTACGTATGTAGCACATTTAGTTTATTTGCATATGGTTTTATTAATAAATAACTTACTGATTTCCTGAGCTTGTTAGTGGGCAAGGACAAATCTTACAATCAATACCTCTAGATGGGTCTCCATAATAACCTGCTGGGCAATTCTCTGGTTCCTTATGACATTTTCCTAGCCATGGACCAGATTGATGTCTCGAATATCCCGCGGCACATGACTATAATTTAAATAAATGTAATATTATACTTAATATAATATTTGTATTAAGCAATACTTCGCATGAAAGTCCACTGTATCCTGTGGGACATCTACACTGTTCAACAAATGAAGCTTGTCCAATTCTATTGTCAATTATTCCTGCAGAGTCCATTATAATATTTTCAAGAGTAGTATCAAAATGACCATAGCTGTACTTCACTTTGATAAGAATATTATCAACAGAAGCTAATGCCATCATTATTTCTTCACGCGTTGCTAGAGATTCTGGAGCGGTATCTGATTTTTTGATCCATTCTCCCACAAAGAATCTGATGTTCATTTCTCCATCACGGTTTTCGTTGCTGACGTGCAATAAGGTGTAACCATTGCCCTATGATATAATGAATCAATCAATAATAATCAATAAAATATAAATTTAAAAAAAATCACATACAGATAGGATAACGTCTGGGGCTCTTGAAATTTGGTGTCCTTCCCTATTCGTTTTCAGAATGTACTTGAGATAGCCTCCATAACTTTTAAGTTGGTTTCCGTGATAGTTCTCAGGCATTGCAAAGTATGGTACCAAGTTATGATTCGAATCTTCATTATATTGAGAGTATACACGTAATCCATTGCGGATATTAGAGGTAGTTACTGACATTTGATCGTTCCTGTACGGGCTATCACCTCTAATATCGACAACACCGGTCATAGGATCGACATTGACGGTAACAAATCTTTGAGAATCCATTGGTGGTTGCAATTGGTATGTAAATAGATCTGCAGAAGAACATTCCTTTGTGACGCCAAAACAGAAGCACGAAATACATTCGTTTGGATTCCTTGCTTCCTCATTGAAAAATCCGGCGGGACAAACGGATTGTCCAGCGTTAACAAGCAGAATGGTGTCAGGGGTGGCAATAACGGATCCTCTGATATTTATTGCCTCGCACGAATATGCACCTTGGTTCTCCGGTTGGATGTCAGGACAAGTTAAAACTCCTACACCGTTTACACTCGTTGTAATGCATTTCTCCGGGATGTGACCCCAGTTTAAGCGCCAAGATATTTCGGGAGTGGGTACTGCGACTGCCGAGCATGTTATTTCAAAGGTAGCACCAATTTCCAAAGTTATCATTGGTGGTGGTGGCCTTACAATGGTCACCGAAGAACAACCAATTTCATCGCTACCATCGGTACAATCGTTCGACATGTCACAGTGGAAACTCTTAGGAATGCATTGATTTCCGGATCGGCATGTAAATTGGTGGAAACCGCACAAAGATCCTGGTGGATTTGTAGCGCAATTCATTTCGTCAGAGTTATCGCCACAATCATCATCCGAATCACAACGCCAGGTCTTCAAAATACATTTCTTGTTTGCGCATCTAAACTCATTTGGTTCGCATCCATGAGGATCTGATGAAAAATATGTATCATGAGGTACAAACTATTATATTCATTCAATGACAATGCTCTTACTGCAACGAGTTTCATCGGATCCATCAGCACAGTCGAAATGTCCATCGCAAACACGTTGCTTATCAATACAATCTCCATTCGCACATGTGGCTTCGTACAATCCGCATACTTGAGGTTTTCGGGTAGTTGGTGCAATATCTATAATTAAAAAAATAAGGAATTACATATCTATTGTTATACTTTTCAAGTATCGTTGTTCATAAATAAAACACTTACCATAAGAGTACAATGAAATGCATTTTTAAAAGAAATCACACAATTAATTAGGTAAGTGTAATTATTATGCGAAAATTTATTACCTGTGCCGCGATATTCAGTATCAATAGGTGGCAAAATGCCAATTTTAAGCATTGTATTCTTTGATTTATCATTCTTATTCCAAGCAGCTTATCAAACACACAAATATGGAAAAATGTAGATAAACTTTTATATATACTCACATTTGTTGATGTTGAGGTAAACTGAAATGTGCGTAGCAGGGACGCTTGGTGGAGTAACAGCATTACAAATGTATTCTCCGGAGTAATTCGTAGGGATGTTCGGCATTTCCAATCTACCATTGTTATCTCTAGAACCAGGTGGCAGATTTCCATACTTGTAGGACCAATATACCTTAACTCTGTTAGGTCCTTCGTCGCGACAATGGAAGACCACTTCTTGACCTGCACATTTTATAAAAACAAATATTATAGCACAAATAGACGCTTCATTTTAATGAAAACCCATGCAGATTAACGATATGTTCATATTGATAATTAAAATGGTTGATAACCCTGATGTAATAGTTGTTGATGCAAGTTAACTGTGATCACCTATTTCCTAAATATTAATAAAAAAAATTGAAATGGTTACGCTGAAATGGAAATTAAAGATTATGTAAATTGTATTAAACATTAACCCTGTGCTAAATAAAACTATTGGATGAAGTACATGTTTAATCGTTATCCATGAGTAATTAAATAAACTACTGAAAAAGATGTGCATTGGACAAATTCACAAAAGCTTTTATATAAGACAATACTACAAAACTGTTGATAAATATGTGTCTGTGTCAAGGCCCAAAAATACTTGTATGGGATATTGTTTTAAATGAGATGGATGAATGCCATTTCCATTCCTAACGGATATATGTACTCACCAGTCCTTATAATGGCTGAGCAACATCACATAAACACAAAAAAATAATTAGTTTCAAGTTTATAACTCGTATATATAAATGTAAAAAAAAATCCACACCACAAAAACGTATCCTTATATATAAACATTTTCAAAATAATACATTTTAATTATGTAAAATAAAAATATCGAAACAATATACTTACTTTCTTTAATTTCTTGTTCAGACGGATATGCTTTCAAGTCGACGATGAATGGCGTATTTGGATTATGTTCATCTGTGAAATAAATTCAAACTATAAGATCTTGTTTTAGGATAAACAATGAGATTAGTATGTAGCACTATTGGTTTTGTTAACTGCTCTCTTCCATCTGATCTTCGACCATGAGGTTCTTCAACGTGTAGTGCTAAGCATTGTTACTTTAGTAAATTATATCCGTTTTATTATACTATTATAATAATTGTATTGAGTTGGCAAAAGCAAATACCATTATAATTAATCGGTAAATAGGTTTTAATTATAAAAAAAGTAAATCGTAATTGTTTAGAATAAAGTAAATTAATGCTTGTTAATTCGCTTTCATATTCGCACTCGATTTAAATTGTTTGTTATGTAATATGTTAAATAGTACTCTTTTTACCGGCAAACATTCGCGAATTGACTTACTATCGTAGGGATTACAATCTAATTCATCGCTATTATCTAAAGGACAATCCGTCTTTCCATTGCATCGCAATTCCATACTTATGCATGGCCCGTTTTCACAACGGAACTCATCGCGAGTACATGCTTCTATAGCTAAATTATTGGAACAACAGATTTACAACATCGAAAGTTTTTTTTTTTAAGAACATTATATAATACTTACGGCAATTATCTTCATCGGAGTTATCGTCGCAATCTCTAATTCTATTGCAGTGGCCTGAAGATGGATAGCATTGCTTTTGGTTTCTACATTGGACTTCTCCGTGCCTGCATACAACCGCGATATGTCCACAGTTTACCTCATCACTACCATCCGAACAATCAGGACGACCGTTGCATTTTCTGTGATTGTCAATGCAACTACCATCGCCGCAAGCAAACTCATCATAACTGCAGACGGTACCTGTACATAAAATGTATGCGTAAGTATTTAATTACGAAATTAATATGAAACAGAAAATGCATTCAATTTTCGGTTTCATTGAAAAGTCAGTAATGAAAGCTAGAAAATATAATCATTAAATATTCCTAAACATTTAAATTAAACATTCGTCAGATCTAAATATTACTAAATATGTTACACTTTGAAATAGTTTATAATAAACACCTAAAATATATATTATCAAATATTATCTAAACATAGAGGCAAGTGCATAATGGTGCGCATGCAAAAATAAAAACGTAGAAAGTAATAATATTTGAAGAAAATAATAAGAATAAAAATTGATTATCTTTTTGGGGCTGTAAACTCATATTAAAGGGGTAGGTTTTAAATGAAAATAGTGCTTATCGGTGTGCACAAAATATGGATGGAACAAGAGAAATAATAAAATGAAGAAAAGTAAAAAAAATAAATCTTCAGAATGATGTCTGTAACTATTTCTAACGAGTAATCAATCTTCACTAGAAACGACTAAAACAATCCAAACCTATTACACATTTATTACCGTTATTCTACGACCCTAAAATATTCTTTATGTATCAAGAAATATCCACATAAATTGTTTACTTGCGTTGCCTCTATATATATATTTATGTGGGTATTTTACGTCTAATTACAGCAAGGACATCTAAAATATATATAAATATAAAAAGTAACAACAGGAAATTTGTATACGAAGCTAACCGATGTAGCAGTTTTGTTCGTCTGAAAAGTCTCTGCAGTCGTAGTAATTATCACATCGAAGGTCGGAGGCAATACAGGCCCCATCGGCACACTGAAACCAGTCGGGGTCGGCACATGTCCCTGGCCAAAAGGGCCAGGACACGTAAATGTTATTTTCGCTTTATTTCTCAATGATTAAGCAAAAAACGAAATAGATAAAAATAAAAACGAAACGAGGAAACTCAATAAAAATACGAGTAACTTACCACAGTCGATTTCATCAGATCCATCATCGCAATTCGGAACGTTGTCGCATTTCAAGTAATTCGGAATGCATTTTCCATTGCCACAAGTGAACTCATCAGAAGAACACGCACAATCCAGCTCATCTTCACCATCTTCGCAATCATTATCACCGTTGCATTTCCTATCGTTTGGTATACACCTTTTGTCGTTGCATTGGAATTGATCAGCTGCACACTCCGGAGCTAAGATTTGAAATTACAACATTTTAGTTACATATACAATAATGAAGTTCTTCAGAGTGCAATAATTTGTGTACAAGTGAACGGTTACTTACCACAACCTTGTTCATCGGAATGATCATCACAATCGCTGTAACCATCGCATTGCTTTGATTCCGCGATACAAATTCCAGTTCCACATTCAAATTGGTTACTATCGCATTGTGCTATTCATCAAACAAAATAAATAATAAGAGCAAAGCCTTTCAAATAATATGTGCAAAAATTGTTGTTGTTTATCCTAACCCATATTACATTAAGCAACCCACTAATTTTATTTATGAACACATCAGGTATCACTCGTTATATACGTATTCTAAATAATTAAAAAACACTACAACTAAAATAATGTATGCAATTGTTTTTTCTGAAACGATTAATTGTGAGTAAAATACGGGTGATACCTGTTTATTATTTTCTGATGTAATGTATGAAGTGTTTTAGTTATGGTTTCCATAAGCGAATATTTGCATACACACCGATATTCTCTCAATTCATACATATACAACAGCAAAATCTAAAACTAAATAGACCTACTGCAATTCTTTTCGTCAGAACCATCACGACAATCTTCGTACGAATCGCATCTGCGTTCAATTTGTAGACACAATCCATCGTCGCAACGGAATTGTCCAAATGGGCAATGATGTACTAAATTCCACAAAAAAATACTCAACTTTAAGACTACAGAACTCAACTTTAAAAACTAAGAAGAACAAACTATGATTTTGAAGAATCAACTGTTAGTTATAAAATAAAAAGAGCTAAAGTTTTAGTTTACAATGTGAACATTGCAAGAAATGAATTATAATTAGATTATTCTCAAATATTTCTTGTTAGAAGAAAGAAAGAAATGTCAAATATTATTTTCGGAATAACTTAGAAGGTATGAGCATTCAACAATTCTAAGACCACAAGAAACGTACCACAATTGTTTTCATCTGAACCGTCATTGCAATCTTTAATATCATTGCATCTTCCGTTTTCGGGAATGCACATTCCCGAATCGCATTTAAATTGCGATGGTGAACACTGCGAGCAGTTGCTTTCATCTGATTCATCAAGACAATCTAAAATGCCGTCGCAGACAAATGCGTTATTTAAACAGGTTCCTCCATCGCAATAATGAGAATCGCACGCTAAAGTAACAAGAAATGAATGTTTTTGATTAACAAATGGAAATTGATTTCAAAATATGTAATCATTAGTAGTTTTGTTAAGTTTAAATTGAAATTAATAGTTTGTTAATATAAAACCAAAACCAAACAGTATTATTTTAGAATTAGATGTTCGTTCGTTGTTGTTGCATTTTTCGGATGGTCTTATCTACGACAGACTTATATAAATATATTATTGTTGGAAAGAAAAGTATTTGATAGAAGAAGATATGTAAATACATAGATAGCAAATCTCTAAGAAAACCAATAATTTAGATATCTTACCATTGCAATTACGTTCATCGCTACCATCAGCGCAATCAATATGTCCATTGCAATGTTTATCTACGTTCACGCATTCATTGCTTTCACAGCGAAATTGATTCGCTTTACAGACTAGCAGAGGAAAAAAGGAACGTTTAATTAGCATTCATTCGATGGGGGCAGCATGAAAATGAAGATCGAAATATTGAGAAGGTTTATGAGAGAGAAACAGAACTAAAAACAATGGGGATAAACTAACCGCAGTTATCTTCGTCCTCTGAATGCTCGCAATCTGAATTTCCATCGCACCTTTGATCAATTCTTAAACATGTACCGTTGCTGCATCTAAACTGATCCAGTTTGCAGCAGTTCATTTCATCCGATTCGTCGGGACAATTGATTCTACCGTCGCAGAAATAAATTTGGTCTATGCATGTGCCATCTTTGCAACGCCTTTCGTGATCCTGGCACCCACCAGACGCTACAATGTTACCCAATTTTATTTAATCCAATATTAATTACATTATACTTCGACGTAATCCTATCACCATCTAATATCACCTGCCACCAATTAACCCAAGCTTTTATTTATTAAATAATTTATACCTGTACCATGAAATAATAACCGATTAGAAAGTATATACTGTTCGGTTATATTAAGTAAATTAAAAATGGAAATAGTAAACGTAAATACTTTCTTATACGATTATTAAGTAATTCTGATTTAAAATCCATCAATTTTTGTGTAATAATTATAACCGCTACTCCAATTAAAAACTCGTTTAGTTGCTAATATTAGTTAACTTTTAAAATTCAGCAAGCAAAAAATAGCAATTAATCGAGTTTTCGATAATGTATTTGACTGTGTATAGATTACGTTTCGCTCTTGAGGGATCTGGGCAATTTTTTTCATCGCTCCCATCATTGCAGTTATGGATGGAATCGCAGCGTTGTTTAAAAGGTATACAGATTCGATTATCGCAAGTGAACTCGTCATCTTTACAGGCTGTAAAATAAACTAGTAAACAGGAGGGCACTTTCTTCAAAGTAAATACAGAAGATAATATATCTACGAGATCTGAAGATGGGTTATTTCAAATAATTCATCGGAAAGGAATAGTTCCAATGATTGTGGATGTTTGTTTTTTTTTTTATGATTAGACACTGAGAAAGAGCCAAGGAACGAATATGAAGCTGTAAATCAGGAGTTTCGAAAATGATGGTAAATTAAAAAAAATCATTAGTGGTTCCAAGTGATGACGAAGATAACATTATTATCACAGAATTAAAAGAAAAATCACATCGAAACTATTAGACAACACGAGGTAGGGGAACTAATAAAAGATAATGGATCTATGTATTCAACTATGGACACTTACGACAATTCTTTTCATCGGAATTATCAGCACAATCTCTGACAGAATTGCATTTTCTTTTCATCGGTATGCACGAACCATCCCCACACGTAAATTCTTCTTTATTGCACCGTGTAGCGTCTAAACATGCATATTATTTGTATTTAAATTATTATGTATAAAATATCATTCACTGTTTCTTATTTTTTTGTTATTCAAGCATAACAACAAAATACAATCCAGGCAAATTGTAAGTGTGTATATATATATAAAAAAAATAAAATTAGTAATATTCAGCCATTCATAATCAATGAAGCAGTATGCTGTAAACAAAATATTCTGGAAATTAACTTGTATTCAGATATATGAAGCAGTAATGGCAAGCGAAACATGCTCATTGCAATATTTAACAATATCGGTTTAAATCTCTTACGTTTTTGGACAGAGCAGTTCTCTTCATCATCTCCGTCCGGGCAGTCATAGCGACCATCGCATATTTGAGATTTGTTAATGCATTCTCCGGATCTGCACTGGGTTTCTTCGGGGTAGCATCTTCCTCTGCCTGTTATACATAAATATATAAATAGATGTACATGTTATTTCAATAAACAGATCACACAAATTTATTGGTGTTAGTTATCATGGAGCAATATAATATCAAAAGGTTTTAGGTATGACTGAAGAGGAGCAAACTGTGTAATAAGACTACTCTAACTCTGAACAGCTATATCGCGTTTCAGGCAGCAATAACCGAGCGTTATCCTCCTAGTTCGAGTACCGGCTTTGTGATATTATACACTGGCACGTGGAGTGTTTCAAACATTGCTGCAAAAATACCAAACTCTAAAAGTGAACAATTGTTATTAAATCTCCGTAACCCTATAATCTGACTCTGAAAGCTATACACAAGATTTACACTAAATTATAACCAGACGAGCGTTGCTTTAAATCAATATTTCCCTATTCCAAATGCGATTGTGCAGCTTTGGTACACATCGGTATTAAACTAATTAAACAGCTAATAGTCTACTAATGCCGCATACAATTTATTTAATATTATAATATTATAAAACGGGGCCCCATTACTGTTGCATCGACACATTTCCAGTATCTGAAAATTATACCAAATGCAAATACGAGATTAATATTTCAAACTAAATAAACATAACCACGATGTTTCAACTCTTCTTTAAATATTGTTTATAAACTATAAAATTGGTTTATCTATTATAGATGGAAAACCCAAGTACATTAACTTAAATCTAGTTTTATTTATAAAATATTTATCTTTATTACATAATTTATACATTGTTCAACGTCTTGTAAGTATTTTTTAATTCGAGAATTTCATGTCGATTTTTAATTTTAATACAAAGAATTTGAAATAATCATATCTTTAAAAACAATTATAAAATTATTATCAATTGATTTCCTATAATGCAAGGAATTGTGATTTATTTTAAATATTTAATTATATTACGTGTCCTTGGATTTATCACCTTTTTTCAAACATAAAATCAAAGGTGGAATGATAACATTGTACGTTTGTGGAATTAATTATGTATTACAAAAGAAAAACATAGTCAAGTTATTAACACCTACATACGATATTGTTTGTAAAAGTAAACAAACAATATTCGATTCCCATGGGAAAAGTTTCTATAGGTAATTTTAATTATGGAATATTTAGAAAATAATAATTGAATTCTTTGTAAATACAGATACATTTATTGCAATTTTGTTCTGAAAACTGTTGTGAGCATTTGATTTTGTTAACCAAATTATGCAATTGTATAAAACTGCTATTTAATAATGGACAATTGAGATTTAACGAAAGTTGTGACAACAAATACGTTTGGAAGTAAGTGTTTGAAGCGTGATAAATTGCTGAACAATTACGTGTTACATATACGGTTAGGAGTGGACTGCAAATAAAACTGTGTACGTAATTGTGCGACTTCCCTAAATGGTCCGACCTGAGCTCACGAACAAACAATTGCCGCGAATGCGAAATGCGTGGATGCATATCGCGTATCAAGAGGATCCATGATCTTGACATACATATTAAAAGTAAAATTTGCAAGTGATTTTTCACCTCCAGAGATCAATTCTGGGGAGTCCGGTAATCCGCGAGAAATTTAAACCACGTTTTATGCTAATGTATGCTGAAAGGAAGGTGAAAAAGAGAAATAACATTTGCACCATTAAATTTTTTATTTTCATTGAAATGTTTGCATAATGCGGCCGGAAAAACGCATAGCGAAATTTGTTGCAGAAAAACGTGACCGTATAAACGTTCTCCGGTGACAATTTTTACCATTTGACTAACATATATGCAAACATACACACGCATGCATAAACAGATAGTCATAAGCTCCAGGGTAACTTAATTAATTGGCTTTAATTATGCAATGCCGCTCAATGGGCTCTATTCGATTATATTAAAAGGCGCGAAATTCGGGACACAAAGGATATCAATCAATTTTCGACGTCGGGTCTTTTCTACTGGATTAATGATCGCGATGGCATTTTATAATTGGAAACAATTTAAGTGTTATATGCGAAATATAAATGTTTCATATACTAAAAAAAAATATAAACTTATGTTGTAAGAAATACATATTTATTATATCATTACTTTAAACTTTTACTGTATTGTAAAGCCGATTATCTGTGGTATTCGGGAACGTTAAAACACGGATATTTTCAAAATATGCTTAATACAAACATCGCTTTTATATGCTTTAAAAACTTAATATACAAATCCACATGTTTAATCATTTTAAAAAGTAATCTGATATATTTGATTGTTTTCCTTCTAAATTTGCTAAACGGTAGATTTGCAAAGACAATTTGATTGTTAAGCTTAAATAAGTAAACACGGATAATCCGAACTACGGTAAATTGAGATCCGGTTAATCAGTGTTTAACTGTACTTATATTAAATTATAACTCATCTCTAAAACTATAAATTTGGGAATTACATTTTTTGTAAAAACTCAATATTATCCTTCTAAAATATCAATTACACTGTTTTTTTTAAATATCGATATTTTTCATCTTCAATTATTTAATTGAATTACACATTTTGTTATCATAATTTAAATATTAGTAATGTATAAAATTCCATAGATTTAAGAAAATAATTTTTTTTTGTTCTTAAGGATAAAATTCATTCGTTTCAGTAATCATACTTTAAAATACATTTTTACAATTGTTTACAAAATTAGTAACATTTCTTATAATATAATTTATAGATAATATTTTTTTTTTTGAGATTTATTAATTTATCATCACCAATATTAATTATGAACACCTGCTATTCCCGTACTCTATGTACATTCCATTCGGATTATTCTAATGCTATTTTAATTTCCACTGTCAACCATAAATAAGCAAGTAAACAACTCGGCGATTTCAATATCAATGGTTTGATTAATGAGATACAACTACATCCACCTGACAAAACATGAAACTATGAAATAGTTGTTTCCATCAACCGTATTTATGAATTATTTAATTCTGTAGGAAAAAAATATAATTGTATTAACATTTTCATTTTATATTGCATATGCCAATGGATATGTATATATATATATATTTGAACACCCACTTGCTAACAGTAGTGCTATTACGACTCACTTTACCGCTTAGAATTGCTCAATACTTAATTAGTTTATAAAGTTTCGTAATACGGTTCAAATCTTCGTAAATAATTATAAAAAAAAACATAATCATTAACAAAGTTGTTAATGATTTATAATGGTTTTATGTGTTTAATTTCATTTTATTTTGTAATAATAATAAATATTATTAATTGGCTACATGTATATAAAGAAATATGATTTTAAGCAAGGATATTAAACCTTAAAATGAAGAAACATTTTAATAAAATAGTAAAAATATTAACAATTTTATTATTTTTTTCTGATCATCCATTATATTCTAGAATTGGTGCTACTCCATAAACGTCAAATATTTGTATATTACTTGGCAAGTTACCAGTATTGAATACACGAAATTATTTATAATTATTATGAACTATTTATTAATTAGTATGTTCACTAGTTTATTATATTTTATTAAACCGACAGCGAAATATTTCTCAAATTTAGAGACATAGGAAAATTAATAGTATTAATAATAGAATTGATGAAACTTTGATAGAAAAGTGATAAAGTGAAAATCTATTTTTTTTTTGACATTTTCAATGTGAAATCAACAGCTATATGATTTAAAGCGAATATGAAAGAAAAAAACTTATAATGTAAATACAAGTCAATATTATAAGAATCAGTACGTCTACAAAATGCTTCACTTGCAAGAAATTTTAATTTATCTTAAAATAATGATTGATGCACTTTATGTACTTAATAATTGATAACCAAAAGTTGCCAATAATTTGTTTATCACGTAATATTTTTATAATAGTTTTACTAATTGGAATATTAAATTTGGCTTTATAAAATCATGTTAAAACACAAACTAAGATACAAAAGTTGACTGCTTTGAATATTATTTATGAAAATTTCTGCTGTAAACATAATATATTTTGTTTGAAACAAAAACTAATAATTAAAAAAAAATATGAATACGTTAATTGTGTAACTATTATTATTTAAATTGGATTTGATAGTATTACAAATGTGTTCACAACTGTATGTTTGAACTGTAAACAAAACTAATACGATTTGGTTAAAAAAAACAGAAGTGAACTAAAGAAACATAACACTGTGCAGCATCAAACGATGTATGAGTGCGTTCAAAGCGACCGCTGACATTATTTACAATGAGAGCAGGGTGCGACCGATGACGGCCTTTAATTAAAATTACTTAGTTTTCAGTCATTCAGTATGGAAATCATGCAGTGTTGGACCATGTCAGAGGAATAATTGTTTATAAAGTACGGTCCATAGTGTGGATCGCTTTGCTTTGTTGCTCTCTCTCCCGGCCGAGTAATAAAGTAGATTTCCTTAAAAGATTTGCAGCCAACAAGCAAAACCAGCAACAGCATCAGTTCTTCGTATGCCATTTTAACAGGATTTCGACAAAATACCGGGCGCAGGCTTATAATAAAACAGTTTCGTGCTATTTTATATACACATAATATAATCAAACTTTACGGCGACCGTAAAAAATATTCCCGCAGCGTGTTTTAATTAATTTAACCGAAACTCGATATTATATATCCCTGGGAATAATTATTCATTTGACTTAATGTAGGTTTTCGCCCCTTATAAAGAGATTTTCACCCTTCAACTCAAAATTAATCCACAAATTTCACATTAAAACAAAATTAATCAACTTTTTCACCTTCTTAAATGACCGAATTTGTTCATAACATATTTGACTTATATCTGTTAATTGAAATCCAATATCTACAATCAATATTTTCATTACTACGCATAAAATTTAATCATAATTATGATTTACCTAAAAATAATTAAAAAAGTAGCCCTTTGTTAATTATTTTTATTTATATCAAATTTACTAGTTGTGTAACTTAGTTATTTTTACGTATTTTAAAAATGTGCATTGATTGTATTTCGTTTTATTAAATGT